GTTTGGTTTTGTGATAATGTCATTTGTGAGCTGTTCTGTCAAAAAAATTTGGGTTTTTTTTAGTCAAAAGAGCTTCCTCTGTAGGGAGGGCTGGAACTGCACTCACGGTCAGTCCCTGGTCCTAATCCAACTACGGAACTGCACTCACGGTCACTTTGAGCCTTTCTGGGGGTACCGGAACTGCACTCACGCTCAGTTTTTAATTAGCCTATATCACATTGTGCAACACCATGATTGAATTGATTAAAACTTATTAAATTAGTTGAAATATATTGAAAAGTTTTGATTAAATTAATCTAAACGTCAAAAAATAAACTTACTACTGACATTGTAAAAAATACACATATATATGTGCACAGAAAATTCTAGCATAGTATTTACGATAACATGATAGGCTATATTCTTATTATAACGAAGCTTCTTTTGTAAAGGTTTCTTGTTGGGTTAGGTTAGGTTAGGTTAGGTTAAAAACGTGTATTAAATAAAGTATTGGATAAAGTAAGACAGAGGACGGAATAAACAGATGACTAAGGGGCTAGCAAAGCGTTCAGCCGTGAAAGAACGATTTTTGACCGTGAGTGCAGTTCCATATGGCTTAGGCGGGCGACTCTTCCAACCCTTGTAAATTCCTTTGACCGTGAGTGCAGTTCGTTGTCAGCCCCTCTGTACCTACTAGAGAGCTCCTTCTACATAAGGAATTCCCCAGTACACACGTATACGTACGAGTGTACTCAATGGTTTTACTTACAAAAATGTACTTAATTTGTTAGATTTTCACATGATGTTTGAAGATCATCGTTAACAACAGTTAAAATAATTTAATTGAAAAATATTATATTATTCTACAAAAACTACCTTCTCATTCTCAAGATTTTATACACCTACCAATAACTTTAATACTGTTGAGTATCTCAAATTCGCTTGTCCTAATACTTCGCTTAAAAATAATAGGTGGCCTATAAAATATAGAATCCAATCACAGTTCAACAAGTTTATGTCAAATTTAGCTGCATGTTTGTATTAGGGAAACCTTAATTATTTCTGCCCGCATTTTCTTTAATGCAAGTACCTTACCTTTAAAAACACGGGTAGACCGGGATTGCGCCAGTTATGTGAGGGTTAAAAAGGGTCAGCCTGGCTTGTACCGGGATTACGCCAACTCTACCCCAGTAGCCAGGTAGCCGGATAATCGGGCGGAAGATGTAACCTAACCTAACGTAACCAAACCCGATAATGAAGGAAGAAACTAAAGTTAAACTTGAGGTATTTTCTGAGCTTGAAGTAATGCCGCATTGGCACAATGACGGTGCGTTTTAGGGGGTGGATTTGACATTGGCACTTTTCCGGTGCCTACCTGGCCCTAGTGGTGCAATCCCTGCAACCCTGTGGATGGAAAAGACTTGGAAAATCCACTTCTCAATTCACCGATAAACACTCCTGCCACAACAATTACATTTCACAAATATTTAAGTCATCATACACAAATAATTAATAGGTCCTAATAACTCACCACCAATATCACGTTTTGCTTCACCGAACGTAGGCCTTGAGCAATAACATCCGAGTTGTGCAACAAAACAGTGAGACTTTCAGCCCATTAATATCGCACTATCTCGATCACCTGTTCTATTATAAATGCGGGTTTTATTTCCATATGTGATAATAGACACATCTTATGCAGTATGCAGGGTGGCCACCCACACCACACCAATGTGAATACAATGCTGCCAACTCACCAACATGTTCATTTTTACCAACCAGATAACTCCGGCCGTATTTCTCTTGGCCATGGCTGCTGAATTCATTTCAATACCAAGTCCCTGGCTAGCTCGCTGTACCATTCATGAGCTATGGTGAGTTATACGCCACCTTCAACATTAACTACCATATTTTATTTATGGTGCAATACCGGTGAGCTCAGAATAAAGTCGAGTTGGAGTTTTAATCGAGCATTCATACCGGTAATGGATGCTGTAAGAAAGGAGGTTACGGTTGAAATATAGCTGCGGATAACGACGATGACGTGGTTCCTGAGATTGAAAACATTTGTGAACAGCTCTTAAAAAGTTTGAATGAGAATTTAGAATGTTATTTTTAGAGAGTCAAGCATTGAAATTATATTTTCACCCACATAAAACCCCGTCCGATCCGTGGTCCATGAAACCATTTGAATAAACGTAGGTTTTACACAATGTACCAAATCTTATTAAAATCGGACGATTTTTATTCGTTATACATGAATTCAAGCAGATGGTGTTTTTACTTTCTGGCGATATGTAAATAAAAAAGTAAAACGAACCCAGGTTTTACCATGAGACATACGGTAACAGCATTTCCTATGGAAAATTCGCTAAAAACTCCAATTCGTAAATTTCCATATCAGACAAACTGTCAAGAATTGTGTCTACGAAAAGTTAATTAAATGTGTTTCATTTGTTTCAATCTCTAACAGATTCTAACTAAGAATTCACAATCTTGGAGGTTTTTAGGAAAACAACGACTGTCTTAGCTGGAAAAGAAATAGGGGTAGCACTGAAAACGTCTTACTGAACTTATACGGATACGTGCCAATAAATATACATCAATATGAATATTGATGAGTCAATATGTGTACAATGGTTGAGTAGTTGGAGAAAATGCTGTAGCAAATAGCCATTCCTAAAAAATCTATTTATTTACGTCCATTGTTCATCTAGCCTTTTAGATTGCTTAATTTACGAGAACTGTTGTGTAACCCTCTTTTGGAAGCAATGGGAAAATTTATAAATTTTTAGACGTTCTGTTCTTATTTAAATTTTTATGTAAACTTAGTTTTTTGTCAACGTGCTTGATGCCCGGCAAGCTTAGAACTCTCTCTATTAGTTGATAGAACTTTTTAAGTTACTCTCTGATTAAAGGTTATTTTAAACTTGTTAATGGTGTTTGGTTATTTGTGCAGTGGAAACATATTGTGGAAGTGGTAAAGAGTAGAAGGCTAAGATGGCTGGGTCCAATTCAACGCAGAAGTGAGAGACGTAAAGCAAGTGTTAAGAGGTACTCCAGGAGACCATTGCCCACTGGGAAGACCAAGGATGAAATGGTTGATGAGGTTTCAAAGTACCTAGGAAGAATAGGAGCAGACCCACAGCTGGTAGAAGACAGAAGATTCTTGAGTTACGTGGTTCCAAGGTTCTCGATGGCCACACGAGTAAGTTTGGTTATTTGGTTGGGTATTTGGACTACTTTGGTTATCTTTGGCGGCAATGCTCTTTACACATATTTGACGAAACACAAAGCTTCAAACAGTTTTAACAGATCTATAGCAATCACAAGTCTAGAGTCTGTTTTAATAATGATACTCTCATCACCCTTGTCCCAAATAACAAATTATCAATCCCGATCCCAGTGTCCCGTGTGTCATGGCCCGTTTCCCAGTTTCCTCCGTCCCGCGACCTTTCCCTAGGCGGGGGAGTGCAGCAGCCACCTTTCACTCTCCGCCGTATGCTAATGTGCTTATCTAGGATGCACGTCACTCGGGCTCTGCCCCATATCAGGCTCACACAAATGTGCTGCTTAATGACACAAATACCGTAAACATATCCGCTTGAGCAGCCTTGCAGTTAATTGGCTTGCGGCTTTACAATTGTCCCATGATGGAATCCAAATAAACTCCAGCAGAGAAAGAATAGACTTTTTAGTACTTTTATTTTAGGATAGATTCACAAATTTGGTCTCGAGGCATGTCGTATGCGTGAGCTGTATTTATTTAAGGAAATAGTTTCAGTACGGCAGTAGCGAATCTCGAAAAAAATTATATGAGTATGGACTGCATTTAGTAATACAATTACTTCAGGATTGAAGCCAAATCAAAATCTAATTGAAAAACTTGTACTGTATTTAGTACAGCAATCACTTCAATACAACAGTAGTGAGTAGCTACTAGCGATCCCCTAATAGACTCATTTGGAGTTAGGATGGAATTCCCAAAACACAACTGTTGTATTGGAAATGTGTGACATGTAAAATGTTGGCAGATAAAAATTACGAACTTCTTACGAATTTATCTAGCAATTCATGGAGTTTCATTAAATGCATTTCCAAGTTTAAAAGTTTTGGACTCGGATTATACTTTGACTATATCTTAACTTCTTAGCCATGACAGAGAGAGATCCAAAAGCATGATACATTAGGTACCTACACGAGTTAAAGTAATAAGTTACACGTATAATGTTTATTTATTTATTATGTTTATGTTTTGTAGCTATTATTTTCTTAAGATTTCTCAGCATTTCGTTTATTTATTTCTTTACTTAACATATTTTAAATGTTGAAAAAATCAAGCACTTAAAATCACGTTGGCTTTTAAAATAACTCAATCGGTGACGCATTTGGCTAAAATAATATGGAAGATTCAACAAATCATGTTTCACACTTAACAAAATCCCATTCTAACACAACGCCAATACAAGTGTGGAACCTAAATCAAAAGAGGAAATCGCAACGGAAAATCTAACATTTTACAAATAAAACACAACCGGTCGAGGCACGAGCGCAGACCGAAATTTCAATGTGCATTCCACTGTGGGATTTGAGTGATCGCATCAGAGGTCCCGGGCTGTACAAACAGCCGGTGATAAGCCACGTACTAGGGTCACTATATTTATAGACGATTACAATCGACAATAAATGGTTTAGCCGAACCGACCGCGATTTATCGGCCAATCAGAAGTGGCGCGGAGGTGGAGGGGGTAACTAGGTGTTTATGGTCGCAATTAATGACCCCTCGGACACTAATGAGCGATATTTATACAGTTCCGCCCCTCCGCGGCGAGATGGCATCGCCCGTGGGAACGGGGAAACGCGGGGATAAGGGTTGTGCGGGATGTAGAGGGATAGAAGAGTGGAGGGTGGGATATGGTTAGGGTCTGCATGCTCTGTCATAATGGTGGGGGTGAGAAACAGGGAGGAAGGATAGGCTGTGAGGGATATAGAGGGATAGAATGGTTGAGGCTAGGATATGGTTAGGGTCTACATGCTCTGGGGGTGAGAAACAGGGAAGACGGATAAGGGCTGTGTGGGGTATAGGGGGATAGAATGGTGGAGCCTGGGATATGGTTAGGGTCTACATGCTCTATCATAATGGTGGGGGTGAGAAACAGGGAGGACGGATAAGGGCTCTGTGGGATATAGGGGGATAGAATTGTGGAGCCTGGGATATGGTTAGGGTCTACTACATGCTCTGTCATAATGGTGGGGGTGAGAAACAGGTAGGATGGATAAGGGCTCTGTGGGATATAGGGGGATAGAATGGTGGAGCCTGGGATATGGTTAGGGTCTACATGCTCTGGGGGTGAGAAACAGGGAGGACGGATAAGGGCTGTGTGGGATATAGGGGGATAAAATGGTGGAGCCTGGGATATGGTTAGGGTCTACATGCTCTATCATAATGGTGGGGGCGAGAATCAGGTAGGATGGATAAGGACTGTGAGGGATATAGAGCAGGTTGAGGCTGGGATATGGTTAGGGTCTACATATGTGCTATCATAATGGTGGGGAGAGAAACGTGAAGGAAGGATAAGGGTTGTTGAGGACGCTGAGAGGGATATAGAGGGATTGTAAGTTCTAGGAGGTCTGTGATAAGGTTGAGGTATATCTATATTAGCTCTGTCATAATGATGGGGAGGGGGAGAAAGAAGAGGAGGGATAAGAGTAGATTAGGGGGCTGGGAGGGACATTTTTGTGGAAAACATAAATTTCTGTTGATATGCTGTAGATAGTTATTTTTGGAGCTGGGCATGCATTTGGGTAAGGCTGGGAACTCAGAACGATACATTTTATGAGATAGAATTAATTCTGGGTGAATGATAGGAGCAATAAGAGAGTGTGATATGGAATATTATTGGGACTGTTGTAAGATAAGTGGGATATGATCGGGGTATTGTACATAGGTGCATGATCTTTGGGAATATTGGAAAAATACTTTTATCATTTTGCCTGGTTCGTGTAGTGGGCTTTTAACCTATTTGATTCTTATTAGTTGGCATATTTCTACCTAATAAAGTAATCTAGCAACTATATATCCTCTGCTTTTAAAACTACTTTCTAATTGTACAAAAGACATCAGCGAACTACAAACGTTACCAATATAAAACACATAAACACAGGCTTAAGATTTTACGATAGAATAAGAAAAGAAGAAAAGAAGTCTACTTACACTATTTAAAAGTCAATGCTACAACTTTCTAGAGTCCACACACGGTAGCGTGTCCAAACCCAAAGGGTTGTGCCAGTTAGCAGCGGCGTTCCTGTAAACATAATCACTAATTTTAGTGTCTTGTCTGACAGAGGAATCGTCTAACCTTACTACCGAAGTGGAGTAGGTTTGACCTTTGACCCGAGCAGGTAAAGGGCATTGCATTGGTCTGCCTCTAGCCTTTGGGCTCGGATCGTGAAAGCCAGTCCTTGCAAGCATGTGCCTTTCACGGGAAATGTCATCCGCGGATTAGACAAAGAGCGAGGAAATCAACTAAAAGAAAATTAAAATTAAGGTTTATACTCTATTTGAGTTTTGTTTTGGGTATGTGATGGCTAATTACCTTTGATACATTGAAATGTTTTGTGTTCCAATCAATTTTAAACAAGGACTTCTTTAGATAATTTTATTTTAAACTAATCCTTATTTACTAGCTACCTTCGTTACTAGAGTAGATAATAAATCCACATGAACCAATTAAATCCGAATTTTATTCACGGGATTGTATAAAACCCTCCACAGTTTATAGTTTAAAATTAATATTTATTCTCTCTGTTTTACATGCCGGTACATGACATATTTTATAAAAACTAGATTAAAATCATTTCTTCTTTCACCAGGGGAGGAACCAGAAACTAACAGCGTTCACACAACACAAACGATCATAGACTAGCTACATTGTAACTAGTAAACTTTATTGGCTATTCAGCCAACAAAAGTCTTTAAAATAAATTATTCAACTCACTTGGACTCTTCTATTTTGTATTTGAAAATCTATATAAATAAAATTAGAGTTTTGTCTGTACATTGCTCAGAATTATATATTTTTAGGTTATTGCTACGTTTTATACATTAAAGAAGCAGAAACGAGTCTTATCTCTATTTCTGTCTGTCTGTCTGTAACACTGAAGATGACATTTTACGCAATCTTCTCCGTGAAAACGAGAATACCTATCAAGATCCAAGTAATTTTAATGTATTCACTGGATTGGCGAGAGTCTCTTTAGTGATTAAAATATGGCCTCACTATTTTGTAAATAACGTTACGGACGTTCAAAAATGCAGTTTTGTGCGATTTTTGTCAAATTTTCGTTCAATTTTCATCACATCGTCTATGAAATAACGAACAGCTGTTCAGAACAAGATTATTTTTTCTAGCTTTGTTGTTTACAAATACCGCAACCATTTCGAATCACGTTTTGAAAGAAAACCCCAACCAAGTGAGATTAAAAACGTTTTTCTTACATAACGGATTTAATTAATCGCAAGTGCAATATTATAGTGTAACCGTAAATGAAATCATCCAGGTCAGGAACCAGAAATTCTTTGTAGGTATATAAAATTGTTCTTGAGTTTTGATAACCAGAAAGAAGACCTTGAATCAGTGTTGTATATGGCTGGGACACTTAATGGTCGTCGCCAATAGGTTTCCACTCATGACGGCGCTTCAATGGTGATTGTGTAAAGTGTAAAGTAAAAAAATCACAACTGCAGTGGGTGATCGTAACAGAGGTTTACGGATGATGCTAAAGTCGCTTTTCTAATGTGTCACTTTCTGTTTCTACTCACCGTGTAATGCAATCGCTGGACCATACAGCAAATAGGCTCATAGCCCATCTTTTGGGTACGTACGCCTACCTATTTATTCATCTAACAACCTTTTCGACGACGATCCTTTATACCAGTACTTTTCCATAGAATACATGGCCTACCTACTTAAGAAATAAAATTACAAACGCCCAAAAACCCAACATTGTGTGATTTTTGTCACATTCAACTGACTACTATAGGATCCCCGTACGTAGAACGGGCACACAGCTAGTATTAACTAAATTTTTTTTATCTAAGTTAATTTGAATTGAAATTTAGTAGGTATAGTTTTTTTAACTGTATCAGGAGATGATGAATTAGAGACTTTTATCTTGGAGGAGAGAATTTCCGGGCTCTTAGTATGAAAGCTCCATTGAAAAGTGATAACATTATAATCGTTCATTTTAAACTAGGTGGGTAACAAAAATGCCATATGATGTAAAAATAATGGTGAGTAGCGCAACAAAATTAACAAACTCAAAAGAAAAATGTTATGGTAGTTAATCATGAGTAACGTCACACAGGATAGTCATAGCCTCACGACCTAGTCTCAGGGTTGCTCTGATGTGGAATGGAGTAGGCCTATGTATTCTGGAGTCATCCTTGAATTTGTGCACTCGAAGCTTTAAACAAAAGAAGAAATGTCCACCATAATGTGTAGCCTATAGGAGAATGTATAAAGTCATCATTTAACGTTGGACTTGTAGTTTGAAACTGAGGCAGAGGCAGAAGTGCCCCCCATAATGTGGATAGGAGAATGTACTAAGCCATCCCTTAATTGTGAACTAGAAAGTGAGGCAGAATTTTCCTACCCTAATGTGGGTAGGAGGATGTATGGAGGTCTTGAAGTTTCCTGGACGTGTAGCTTGAAGGTGTGGTGTCAATGCAGAAGTGTTCCCATGTCCGGCGCCGTGCCCGCTTCTTGGCGCCGTTCATGGAGGTCTTGTAGTGTCGTGTTTTGTTTTCCTGAAGGTGTTCTGCCGATGGTGTGGTGACCCGCAAGTCCGATGCCGTGCCCGCATCTTGGCGATCTAAGGGGCGATCTTTTAGTGTTGGTGACTAAGAAATTTTTACGATTTGTTGACTAGAATTTCCACGATGCTAATTCTAAATTTAGGATATTTGTGAAAGTTTTAAGGTATTGAAGATAATTTGAAGGTTTTGATTATGTGTTGTTGAAGACCTTCCTGATACCTTGCCACTTCAGAATCAAACAAAGCAACCAATAAAGCTGCTACAAATAAAAGTGGTATACGAACAGACAAATATACATGGAACGCTCGAAGCAGATTTCTTTTCAGCAAGATACTTCTTTTCTCTATGAATAACCAATAACCATTCCATCTACTGTCGTAAGAATGGCCAATTTCCATTCTGGATTTGTAGAAGTTTGTTAATATGTACCTATATACAGTTCCAGAAATGGTTTTAGAGTAAAATCTCGTTGAAGTTACAAACATCGTAAATTTGTTAATTACAAGAGTTCATTATTGGAGAATTGTGAATATAACTAACAAAAAATGTGTTATTTCAAAAAAATACTATAAATACTCAATAGAGTGAAAATCCTACGTTATAAATTCAATAAAAATGTTCAAAGAGTATATTATTCAATAATCTTAAAGCAACGTCAAACCTTTGTTTGTTGGCGTATTTTATTTGACTTCTACACTGCTCCGGAGAGAGCTTGGGCACTGCACCGACGTCCCGACATAACCACCCGTTGTTGGTCAAGCCAAATCTCTTTGTTCAACGAGTCTTTCTTCAAGGATTTCGTTGATTTCGTCAAGAACACGAATCTCAACTTGCTTCAAGCAGTAATTAGAACATTTTCATAGCCTTAAAATGCTCAAATTCAACGCGGTCGTTACTATTCAGACACGAAGAAACACACAACACAAACGAAAACATGATACACCACAACAACGGACACTAGGTTTAAGTAATAATTCAAAACGAACGAACAGGAAGCTATGGTCTTCGTGTGTGGATCGTTTGACGTTATTGAAAGATAATTTTAAGGCCCTAGAGATTGGTACGAATACGGCTTGATGAAAGCTGAAGACACACGAGGGCGAATCAAAATTGTGACGGAAACTCGATATGCACATAATCATCAAGGAAAATCACTATTGTCAGTAAAACAACGAATACATTTTGTATTCATTAGTAAAAAGTACCTATGAAGTAACTATAGAAACTGAAACAAATAAACAAAATAAATCCAGCTGACAATACACCACATTGTGCTTGTTTTGTTATACAGGGTGTTTCCGAATTGTCTGGACATATTTTGTGGACTTCCCTGGGCTATGACAAACATAAAACACCGTATAAGTATATGGGTCTAAAGTGCCTAGATTTCTGCCTGTCGGTATGATTGTGATTTTTATAAATTATTCTATATCTTGGGCATTTTTCAAGATAGAAATTTGAAATTTGTTAAGAATGTGTAGTTCTAAAAGTAAAAAGAACTGCGATAGTTTCGTTCCAATATGTCAAGCCGTTTCAATATGGAGGCCATTAAAAACTTGTATAGCAAAATTTCATGAAAACCGTAAATATTAAGAAAATCTTTTACCTTACTCAAAAGATAGAGAATTTTAATACTAATCAAATGAGGCCATATTTGTTAAAATTGGATGAAAAATAACCGAGTTATAAGTTTTTTTCTATATTCGGTTACGCAATTAAGTAGGACTACCATACTTGAGAACATGGTACTCCTGTTGAATTGCATAACAGAATGTAGAAAAAAAACTGATAACTCAGTTATTTTTCATCCGATTTTAACAAACAATGCCTCATTTGGTTTGTATTAAAATTCTCTATATTTTTGGTAATGTAAAAGATTTTCTTAATTTTTATGGTTTTCATGAAATTTGGCATTACAAATTTTAAATGACCGCCATATTGAAACGGCTTGAGATATTGGAACGAAACTTTCAGAGTTCTTTTTACTTTAAGAACTACACATTCATACCAAATTTCAAATCTCTATGTTGAAAAATGCTAAAGATATAAAATAATTTATAAAAATCACAAACAGATCGATAGACAGAAATCTAGGCACTTTAGACCCATATACTTATATGGTGTTTTATGTTTGTCTTAGCCCAGGGAACAAGTCCACAAAATATGTCCAGACAATTTGGAAACACCCTGTATATCTGCTAGTAGCCTACAAATGACCAGTGTTGTTGATGTTATTTTACCGCAGTGTTATGTGCCATAATGTATAACAATGGCATAACGTTGAAATGTGCAGACATCCATTTCGTCTAGTTGTCTTTGCTGTGATTGCTGTTATTGACGTCATATTTGTCAAATGTTCTATCCGTTTTGCTGCGTGTTGGTCGTTGTTTCGTTGGGAACGGTCCAATACCTCTTGTCCACGCGGGTGTTGATGTTATAATCAGAAGTGTCTGGTTTTCCATAAACACACCTCTTCGTCTACGTTTACTGCTGAGCATAAATCTGCAAAGCTGTCTGCAGCCTACACTTTGTCTTCATTCAGCGAATGTCTTTGTAAACCCACTGAAACTGATGGTATTATAGAGTGTTGACTTCTTCTCAATTCTTCATTGTGTAAAGTGAGTTGAAATTAGTCTCATGATTTGATTAGTTGT